CCATTGGATACCCAGAGGTAAAAAAAAAAAAAAAACAACTCGGCACTGCTCCCTTGCAGCACAGAGAACAACTGAACATGAAGTATGTGGTACTGCAGACGTGTCTACGCCACCATATACTGCACAGCTGCACTCGTCTGGATGTGGCCATCAAGAGCAAATTTGCTTCTGATGGGCACACATGTAGATGTGCTCTCAGGGAAAACTTACTGCGTAGTATTTTACTGTAAAGTATGCTTTCCGTGCATTAATTGCACATGTAGATGCATCCAAAGTCTCTTAAAAGGTGTACATCATGCAGTATTTAAAAAATAACTGTCAGGCAATAACAACAGGTCCCACAGTACTAAGGGCCACTGTTTAAGTTATCAGGTCTAATCCCCTAGAGAAAAAAACAAATAACCAAACCTCCTCTGCATTTCCCTTAAGTTGTGCACTTCCCTTAAATTATCTACTTCCTGCTTATATCTCTGCCCAGTTTTCCAAACCACACCACAAGCAAAACATTATGCTATGTGATTGTTCTTGCCATTAGTAATATTTTCCTAATTTCAAAGCTAATTTGTCATTTAATAGTAGATAAGAGCAATGGGCTTGCATTAATAATTTCCAGTACATAGCCAAATTAAGAATGGACCCACCTGAAGGAATAGGAAGGGCTGCCCTGCAGAGGGACAGAGTGCAAAGAGACAGAGTTTGTCTCAGTAGGAACACTGTTTGCCTGAGAGTGAGTTAAGCTGTTTTGGTGGTAGCCCTCTTGGAAGTGGGAGCCATGATGTAACCCCAGCAGGGTTGGAATGAGAGACACTGCAAAAGCTTGGGAAGAGCCCGGGCCTGGGACTGGCTGAAAGGCTTGATAGAAAGAGGTGAGTAGTTTTCCCAGGGAGAAGAACAAAGAAGAGAGAGGTGGTAAGAGACAGACCAGGGAAAGGGTCTCCCCATGGCTGTCTCCCCCGAAAGCCCCTGGTAGAGCCCTGCAGAAGTAGCAGTGAAAGGCTGCACCACTGAGAGTGCTACACTGTGTTCTCCCTCCCTTCCTCTTGGAGTGGAGCTGCCTGTGAGGAGACTCTGAGTCTGGGAAGACCCTCCTGCAAGACGCTGTGCGACTGGGTGAGCACAGCAGGGGAGGGGGACTCAGGGCCAGGGGGAGACTGCTAGATATTGCCCTGTTGTTTCCCTGTGATGGCACTGGGGAGGGGCAGGCTCAGGATGCTGGAGGGAGCATTGGCCCATAGGTAACTGGTGCCACCTTAGTCGGGGGGGGCACATGCACCCCTCATGGCCAATCTCACCAACTGGGGGGGGGAGGATGATCTCACTGACCGGGGGGCGGTACCCCATGGGCAAGGTGCCCCTGGAAGTGGCTGCTGTGGTGCTCCCACTCCCTGGCTAGCACTTAGACACTGCCCCCTGCTGAGCCAGGGGAATCAGCCCTCTTGCAGGGGAGGA